CGCTGGGATCGACCTCCGAGTCTCTTCACTGCACACTTTCACTCGAAACTGAAGTCAGCTCGACAAGACAAGACGAGACAAGACGAGAAATCCTGTTTGATTGACTTGCTTTTTTCCCGAGACTCAACAGCCTCTTTGGTCTTGAGTCTATTTGTTAAGCACAAGTTTCTGTCATATCGTCTGTGGGTTGTGAATCTGTATTTTTCGTATTTGAGTAGAGTGTCGAGACAACCAGCAAATCAGTAGTATGACATGTATTCACCCAAATTCGTGTAAAATGATAAAGGACTGGTAGTAGAATTTACCCACAATCATATGAGTAGAGCTGGCGTTTCCATCACTTTCACTGAGCATTACTTCCCAAAAATTCGACTACCAGTCCTTCATCAGCTTACATGAATCTTTAACCCAACAGCTTCCACATGCGCTATTCCTGCTCAGCCACTCCGTGTCGAATGGGAGGCAAAGTCTGTCCCACATAAAAGCGGTCACATGAATGCAAAACTGAATAAAGTGTCGTACTTTTTCTGCAAACCGTTTTTATTCCCCACTTTCTCATCAGTTTGTCTGTCTTTTTGGAGAGAATGCACAAAGACAAAGACAAAACATGGGAAAAGGTATTCTGCTCTTCATCCCTTCTTACCAATTCACCATTATCTTATTTTCACCCAGACCCATGACGTAATTCTTGTCAAGAAGTATTTGTTCAAGCCGGTCCACTTCATCATCACAACAGCCTCTATCGCCTAGTCCTATGCTGCGCATACTCATGTGGTCATACCAAGCCAACAGACAGACGGACAAACATCTGGACGAACTAATAGACAGACGGACGGATGGACGAACAGACAAGCAATCCTGCTCTCGCCATTCACCACATCCGACTTTCAGGCCGAAGCTCGAGTCCCGTCAAGAGTAGGTGAGACTTAAGTTGAGGCCGATGCTGCTGTCGCGTTTGAGCAAAGGAGCATGACGACGTGTGTCGACAGCAGAGGGAAAGAGGGGGGGTGGGGTGGGGTGGGGGCAAAAGGCAATCCGACAATCGGTTTGGTTCAGTCGAGAAGGTTGGCTTTTGGCGAGGGTCGAGGGTCGAGGCGACGAACTCACCGAGTTTTGTCCACTCGCTGGCTCTGCCTCGTGCGCGGCCGCGAGGCTGACCGATAGACTGCGGCTCGAATCCATCAGGTGGGTCGTGCTCACGACCGTCAAGCGCCAGGCCTAGACACGGCGGAACGGCAGAGAAAAGAGTTGCAAGAAAACGCGTTAGTCGGCCGCATGATGGGCACCTGACGGGAGTGGAACAAGCATACTTTGCGTCGACAGCAAGAAAAATGTGAAAGTGAATGTGAAAGTAAAAGTGAAGCTGAAACTGAAACTGAAACTGAAAGTGGATGGCAACCCGCTTTGCTGTAGGTGGATCTTCGACTGGCGCTCGAGGCGGCTGGAGATGAATTGAATTGAAAACATGCCAGACGACGTAAGAGACGCAACCTTGCCCGTTCCCTTCTTGCAAAGCAGTAAAGCGGCCCAATCTTGTCCTGAAACAATGGAGAAATGCACTCAGCCATAAAGTAGCGTCTTAAATTCACATAAAAGTGGAAGCACAAAGACAAAAAGCATAAAGCCTCACTAATCCAGTGGCACGGAGCAATTGAACAGTATTTCCATAGTCGTGATTGTCCACAATTAGCAACAATATGTCATACGCAAGTAAGGCAGGACGAGAGGAGGACAAACGCCGAGTGGAAAGTGAGTGCGCGTTTGAGGTCTCGGCAGATCAATCCTAACAACCAGAGTCGCCCTTGGCTGAGTTTCGGTGTGAAATGTGTACATTTTGTGCCTCACGAACTGAGTGAATTTCACTCCACTCGCTCTTCCAAAAGGCTTTCAACACACGAAAAAAAGAGCGTGCCTCGGTCTCATCAACAGTCCCAATCCCCCTAGAACAGCCACAGGCATTTAACACTGTCATACATCATGCTACTGTTG